CATTGGCCAAGTCTTGCCTAAGTTTATAAACTTCTTCTAAAGTTGCCATTATCCACTTAGCTTTTCTCTTTTGTCAAATTGGTTTATAAAAAATTATTACTTGGACAAAAGTGTTATCCTTGATTAAACGTCCTTCTCTCCTTGACTAAGTGCTGCGGAAAGGGAAGTCATGGATGTTTATTATTAATTATTTGATTCAAACTCGATACAACATTCATAGATGGAGAAAGATCATGGAATAAATAGGGGAATGATATGTATAGAGAAAGCATGTGAAGAGTGGAAAGATAATATAGATGGAGAGATGTGGAAGAATTTAGGAACAGAGTGGACCCCCAACTCAAATGACGAAAAGAACGACTCATGCATGAACCTAAGATATGGTCATGGTGTGAAAAGAGTATGTACAAAGTGTGTGAATACTTGTGAGTGTAAGTGATATGATCAAGACTTGTGTTATGGCCATGGGACTAGACTATGTGACTAGACTCAAACAAAGAATAAGTTAAGACTCCACGTATGTGCACAAAACTGGACAGGCTGTAGTATTTTAGTCATAAATTTTTATCTGTGTCTCCCAATTAAACAAAACTAACGCCAAATAAAAGATAAAACTTGGGGCTACAGATCCAAAGCTTGTACGTCTTGCAACTCTTCTTAGAAATCTGACTTTGACCAAAACAGGTTGACGCTTGTGAAGTATACGGGAATAAAAATCCGTGTTGACTCAAAGGAACTATGACTCGATTTTGAACATATTTATTAGCTAAAATTAATTAATCAATTAATTAATCAAAGTCCTTTAGTCCTGATTGGTTAGTTTTTTAATCATATTTATAATTACAAGTTAAACCAAATGGTTAGTTTAATAATATAAAAGTATGCACAAGCAAAGAATGCACAAGTAGTCAAGTAAGCACAACATGATGCAATGAGTTTGCAACCTAACCATGGCTCTAGTTCTCTAAAGTTCAAGAATAAGGGTTAGTCAAAAAGGATTGACAGTTATGAGTCTGATCTCACCGTGCGGAATCCTTACCTTTGGAAGAGTTGGCGCTAGTGGATGGGACCCCGCGAGTTAAACTTGCTTCCACGGTTTGGTGAATTCAACAAATTCGGATGTACCCTTCGTAGGCCATGAGCATTCGATTAGGTATATGGAGTGTAAATTGCTAGAGGGTTATGGCCATATGTAGCACACATATGGGTTTGGAAAAGAGGCAAAAACTCAATCAGGAAGTAAAACCGAGCAAACAATACTAGAACTGGTCGAAACAAGAAGGTAGATTTCTGGCTCGGTGTTGGAAGTACTCGGTGCGAGACTACAGTGCCCATCGCCAGGCTATGACTCTGTCGCCAAACAAAAATTATTGTCCCCAGGCAACAGAGCCATCGCATTGGCGATAGGACTTTTTCTCATCGCCAGTTCCTATATGGCACAACAGCTTTCTGTGCTTGAATTTTCCAGTTTTTCGCAGCGGTATTTTGATTCTAGTCGTGAAAGATATTTTCCTAGTTTCCTACGTGTGAAAATCCTTTGTTTTTGACACATTACGGATGGTCTTTCCAATGCGGACCTTTTTTATACTTATGCTAATAATGTTAATCAAAATTACGCACATGAAATACTTAAAACTTTTTGAGTGTCATCCACTCATTCTAAATTATTAACAAAATAAATTTTAGGAATTAAAATAGAAATCCTCCCCAATGGAGTTGCCAAAAAACTGTAGGGAATACTTCAAGAATCCCAGACTTGAGCCCCCCCTATGATCATACACTTAAGCATGGTGGCGTCCAAAGCGAAGGAAGCTAGAGTAAAGAGTCACCAACAAGTCTTAGGAATTTGTAAACCGTTCACAGGGTGAAGGTTATACCCCTTAACGATCCATTAGATTGTTAACTCCATAGTGTCTGGAACCATGACTGGATATTCGGTGATGAAGGAACAAATCCAACCTAAAAGAGATTGAACCTGACCTAAAAATAGGTCTCTACTTTATTCTTCTCGTATTCATGTGCGCTTTCTAAATAACATACAATCATTAGGTTAACTCTAAACCTTTTTAATCTATGTTAGTTGAATATTAATGCACAAACAAAACTATTATTGGCGATCACTTGAATTATAGTTATATTAGCCTAAACAAGATTATTAATTATCATATTAAGCGTGATTAAAAGTACAAAATCCCTTTAAACATGCATAAAAGGTGTGATCAATCAATAAAAATAATAACAAGCAACATGATAATAATCACAATCATCATCATAATAATAATATTCTCAAAAAGGCATAATAATATTAGCAAGATCCTAGGCATGATACTAACAAGATTAATAACAGATCCTAGCATGTCACTAAGCGATAAAGATCAAAGCTTCAACCCTCACATGATACTAGGAATCAAAATAACCAGAGCATGCTTTCTATGACAAAATAATAATAATTAAATTACTTACTTGGATGCCTCGTATCACTTTCTAATAACAAAATACACGCATTTTTAACTTCAAGGAAAATAAGAAATCAAACAATTAAATCAAATAATTGAAATAAGGATTTGGGACCAAACACTCATAAATTATCAACCTTATACATATAGGGCGAAGGCAACTTCAAACTTGTCTAGGTGTGTCTAAAACTTGTGAATGCGGAATTTTGTAAAAGGGAAGGTTTAGAAAAAGAATAGACAGAGAATAAGCTTTCGCTTAGAGAGAGAAGGGATGATTGGTGATTGTGGATTAAAAACGGGGAAATACAACCCCCATTTATAAGAGAAAAGTCCAGAAACGATAGAAAAGAGTTAGAATGCAAAACAGAATAAACTAGCTCCTTTCGCAGAGCTGTCGCGCACGACAAAGTCTGTCGTTGTGCGACAAACCTGTCATTTGGCGCTGGAACAACTTTTTACGGATTTTATATTTATCATATCTTTTGATCTAGAAGTCCAAATAAGTTGTACAATATGTCCTTGGAAATCTCTTTGGAAATCTTTTGTAAATAAAAAGATATGGCCGAAATAGTGGTAGGGTGTCAGTTTTGGAATAGAGTTTCGTATTCCTTTCATATTTTTTTCTTTATAACTCAGAATTAATTTTATAATTTATCATTGAAAATATAATATCAATATATATCCAAACATATAAGATTTAGATAAAAATTATGTGGCACGAAAATAATATCTAAACATATTCCATTTCACGCAGACTATGGACTCTCAAAAAGAGAAGTTTTATTCAATTTCGAATTCTTTGATCTTATCTTTTCAAAAAACGATAATTAAGATCTCTTAGAAACTTATAGAAGCTTCTAATAAATCCTTATTAGTTTAGTAATGATATTAAACATTTGGATCGTCCACATGATCATTGGCTCGTAGGTAAAATCCGGTTTGGGCCCACTTTAGTATTTTGGCCATAACTTTCTCATTATTCATCGAAAATGGGCTTATAATATATCGGTGGAAAGATCTTTTCAAACCCCATACAACTAAATCATTATTGGACCCTTGTCATTGACCAAACTAAATTGGACTGGCCATTTTCATAAATAGAGTATATTTTCAAAAACAGGAAGAGAGATGTTTTAATAAAAACAAACGCATCACTAGACTTTTGACACTTTCACTTCATTTGATAATCAAATGATGTGAAAGGTATTCATCACTGGGTTTGGTTTTGGGGAGACACATTTGGGTATCTACAGATTCGCATATGAATATTGCAGAAATTCCTTAGTATAACATTACTTGCAAGTCATTCGGTCATTATTTTCAAAGTATTAAGCATAATGTAAGAGAAATTGATTTGTAATAAACTTTACTTTGAAAGTAAAAAATATAATATTATAACAACGTTGATAATTTGTTTTTTTTATATACAAATTATTGATTAACTACCATGCAATAACATAAATTAGTTATATAATATTTAAGCGAAATTTTATTAATATGTCAAAAGACGATAAAATATATTTATTCAAGTAATTTTTGAGTTTTAAGTATAAATAATAACTTATTAACTTATGCATATCCCATGCGTAGAATGAGTCCAAAAGCTAGTCATATATTGAGTTCCAATTCCGAAGATTCGTTTAATTTCCTTCCATTGGATCTCTACTTAGGAGATCAAATTTTCTATTTACTTCAAATCAACTTTAGACTGTTCGGCTTCTAGCAACTCAACGACTACAATTGTCATTCCCTGATACAACAATGATAACATCGTTAATGCATGATTAGGTTTTCATTCCGTTGGCATCTTGCATTCACATCCTTATTTTGGTTACCTCTTTAGGCCTTTTTTCGACGCTAAAAAGCGTCGAAATTTTTTTCTCGGCGCTGCTAAAAAGCGTCAAAAATACGTGAGCCGAAATTTTTTGTGGACACAAAAAAGTGTCGAGATTTCTTGACGCTTTTTTGTGTCCTAACTAATATACGAAGCATCGAAAATTACGTATTTCGCGCATTATCCCAAATGTGTGTAGTTTTTTAGCGACGCTTTTACCTGTCCACATTTTCAAATTTAGAGACGCTTTTTGTTGTCTTGCGTTTATTGATATCAGCCCACGGTATGGCGGGAAGCTCTTTGATATTTGAAAATGTGGAAATATGTAGACAATAAAAAGCGTCTAGAATTTTTTTTAAGCGTTTTTTTTCGTTTATTAAATTATTACCATCATACATATATTATAGTAATTTAAATTTATCATAAATTAAATTAAATTAATAACATTAAAATAAAAATAATTAAATATTCTATATAACTAGATTAAAATAAAAAAAATAATTAATCAACAATAATAAGAGTACGTAGATAATTAACAAATTTATAAAAGAAAACATCAACACAGTACAATCATTAAAAAAAAAGTCGCATATTATAGTAGCTTGTCCCTAAATAAATACATCACTAATATAAGACTAAAAACCAAAATAGATATATGATGGCCACATTAATCGATATATCACTTGTTGATGCTCAAGTGTCCCGGCCTAGTTGCACCTACATTGCCTTTTCCAATCTTTAAATAAAAAAAATACAAAGTATAAATTAGTACATTACACAATATAGGATCAAGATTCAACATGTTGTATTTAAACATAGAATTGTGAGTTAAACATAGAAATATAAATGAACAAAAAAAGCCAAGAGGTCTTTCATCAAGAGTTCTTGACTAGATCAGTATTGCGGACAAATCCAAAGCTTAACTGAACGAATCATGGATCAAGTAATACAAAAGCTGGCACGAAATTCTATAAGCAGTACCTTCAATTAAATCCAGAAGTATACAAAATAGTAATTGTCAACACATATTGTTAAAGAAACAATGGATCTAATTTACAAAGACAATACACGAAAACAAGCAGAATAGCCCCATACTCAATACTACTTTGCTATCAAGATAAGTTTAAGGTTTCTGATGTTAATTCTTGCTTTTTTCAGAGAGGTTACTTCTTCAGTGTCCCAATTTAGAAAGTGTTCATGCAACTGATTGTGTAAAATTGTTGCACGAGGGTATTGAAACACGAGTATATCCTCTAACTATGCCTGTCTACTGTCTCACTGTTATTTCTACCTTAAGTTTAAGCTGCATGGTCAGTGCCCTGGTAGCATTTGTATGGAGCTTTAGTGGACGTAATTGTATGAAGTTGAGACCATTTTCTGTAGCTTGTCAATCCTAGGTGCTACGATTGCATAAACTTATTTAGTTATGGAGCTGACATCCATGCTGAAATCCTTGCAGATTGAAAATGCTCCATCAGAAAGCCATTTACTAAGCAAACGGATGGCTGATGGATCCAAGAGAGTTAGAGTTCCTCACATTCTCAGCCAGCAGGTAATTCTTACACTATATTACAGAAAATACAAAGTTATTCATGGTTTTTATGCTTCTACTACTGGTGCTTAATTCTTTTCTAGTGACCATTGTTTATCTTGGGTGAGCTAACTCACTAAACTAATTTGAAGTGAAACCAAAACTTGCATATTTCTTTTCCTTTGTCAAGCTATCATGAACTTCAAATGTTCTCCAATACACATCTAGTCTTTGTTTTCTGAACTATTTGCTTCTATCCTAGCCTGAGCAGGGCAGACAAGCAGCTTATTTAGGTTGTAACTTTATTTTACTTACAAGGTTGCATCCAAAGCTTAGGCAGCGGAGAAGGAAAACAAGCATGAAGGGGAGCAGGACAGCAAGCAGCACGAGAGCAGGACAATAAGTAGCAGGGAAGACAAGCAGTATAAACGGGAGTATTCTAGAGTAGAGAACCTTAGGCAGATTATTATTATTACACACACACACACAAGCTATGACTTTCACACACACACACACACACAATCTTTGACTCTCACACACATACACACATAAGCTCTGATTTTCACACACACACACACACACAAACACAAGCTTTGACTTTCACACACACTCACACACAAGCTCTGAATTTCACACACACACACAACCATTTTGAATTTCAGTTCTGATTTCAAATTTGATTTTCAGTTCTGAACTTAAGATCTGAATTCAGTTCTGGATTTCAGTTCTGATTTCAAATCTGATTTTCAGTTCTGAAATTCAGATCTGAATTCAGTTTTGGATTTCAGTTCTGATTTCAGTTATAAAGAGAAATGTGACTTTGTTACCTGATGCTTAGCCTTTCTTAAGAATTCAGATGCTTTGTTAAAAAGATCCGAAGATGCATTCCCTTGACGAATAACACCTACAATTTGAGAAAATTGTCCAACAAGTACTTTAAGTAGAAGACTATTGTGGCCGACCCGGTCTTTCAGCTTTTCATTTTCTTGAGATAGTGTATCATTTTTTTATGCAAAGCATTCACTTCTTCTTTAACACTATCCATCACAATATTTATCTTTTGAACTTTTCCATACCCTTCATTCCTTAACACACCACGTACTCCGAAAATGTCCCCCCTTTTTAACCCCCAATCCGTAACCCACAGTACGATCTGAAATCTCATTGCCATACATAGTTTGCTGAAATGCTTCATTTTCGAGCTCTTATTCAGACATCTTAGGGTGCATGATCCTCAGCTTTTCAACCTTAGCTTTAACATCATCCTATACCAACATTTAGGAGTAATGTAAGACCACAAATTACACAAAACCACACCAAAAAATCTACACAAAATGATACCAGAAATCTGTCACAAAACCATACCACAAAATCTTCAGTGACTGTGTTAGAAAGAAATCTTCCGTCTTTACCCGTATGGGTTTTAATCTACAGCGCTAACAAGCTCATTTTTTGTCCATGTTCATCTTCCTAAAAATAATAAGGCAAAACAAGCATTAAATATGTGTACAATAGTATATAACGCATATTACCTGGCTTTGCTCTTACTAATATCCTAAGTAAATATAAAATGACATATATATTCCATGCATAATCAGCTTGTTGGTTTGCAAAACTTTTAGAGCCAGATGTATGAATCTGATTTTGAGAAGCTCGTGCCTTTTTATCGCATGTTGACATAGTCTGCAACCACATTTTCAGATTTTTTAGTTAGAGATTAATTACAGCTTAATAGAGTAAACAATAAGGTAAATATTGTCCTTACTTTCCCGTAATCCGAATCCCAATATTTTACCAACTTAACCAAGTTACTACTGGTAATTCCATGTGGCACATTATTACAAATATCATCCAATTTCTTCTCCAATGGCTTGTAATAAATCAGTTTAAGAGAGTATTTGAACTGCCTCCAACATTTATTGGCACGCTTCAAAGCTTGGCTGTCATATTCCGCACCAGAAGGAATCAGAAAACGGTCCTTCAATAAAAATAATTAGTTAAAAATATAAATAAGTAATCAATTAGAAGTAAGAGACCGGCTAAGTATGTGTGTTTAGGCAATGACAGGGGATGTCTTAGGGATGAATATACTTACCCTTATGTCTTTAATTATTTTTCCTTTCAAAATGCTTGTCGATTGCATGCCAATCTTTTTCCCCAACTGGACAATATAATGTGACTCCATCTTCGCAATCATACTAATGAACTTAACCAAAATATGTTCACCCTTCCTAATTGGCTGGCATAAATCATTGAATTCGACATAGTATTGGATGCCGTTATTACTCCATACATCAATTGGCAGAATAATACCACTTACTAATGTGGTATTACCCTTAGCATCTAAATAAAATAACAAAATTAAGTTAAAAGAAATAATCAGTTTAAGTGGATTAACAAGCAAATTAAGTGGCAAGTAGCAAGTAATATTATCAGTTATACCTCAAACCAAATAGAAAGACTATTGAACATTCTAGAAAATTCAGAGCTAGTAATTTTTAAGGCAACCCTTCCAAACATCTTAAAATTTCATACTGCTCTAATCCTACCAGATGGAATTTGGCTGAAATTTTTAACAGAAGTAGTACAGGATCTATGTAGCATTTACCTGATTTTTATACCGTAAATAAGCATGTGTTATTAGTGTTGTTTGTCATGACATAATGAGTATTTTAGAATGTAATACATAGAAAAGAATACAAGGCTGATGATTCTCATTTAGCATGTATGTTAAACTGAGCTCCTGCCTTTGTTTAAATATCAATTATGTAAGCCTTTAATTTGCATGATTTCTGCTTTTTATTCCTTATATTATGAATCAGTGAAGCAATGTATGCATTGATGCATTTTTTGTCTCTTTCAAAATACAACTACCTCTGATCTGTTACTTGAAATTTATATTCAAACAAAACCTATGTTATTGTTATCATTTTGGTAGGAATTTTTTTTCTTAAACTAGCATAACGTGTTCAGTTCCAATTGGTTATGCTTGATATATTGATTCAGACAAAAACCTCCCCGAACCTCCGGACCAACAAAAGACAGCATGAAATTAGCACTAGCCAAAGGTATAAAGGTAAACACTTATTGCAAGCATAAGTTCAACATAAGTTATGAAGACAGTCAAGCCAAAATCCAATAAGTGTATAAGTTCAACATATTTTTGACTGTTCTTACTCTCATTTACATAACACAATTGCATACATGTTACTGTGGTTTTTAAAAAAATCTACAGATTCTACAACATACTCTTGCCTTTACAACAGTTTCCACAGGACTATAGCCCTTTTTATTTATAGTGCCTAGCTATTGGTGACATAAATTATCCATTTGCTTTTTGCTTTTAAGTAAGCCTAATACATTTACATTGGTATTTTGATAAACAGATGTTCCCGATAGTTGGAAAGTCATTGAAATTGTTGTATAAACAATCAATTGAATTATCAGATTTCATTACATCATGATTTCATTGTTCATGTTATAGCTTTGACAACTATCCTGGATTGATATAACGCTCTCTGCTGGGCATTTTTTTTTTATGTATACCATTTGCTTTTACTTAAAAGGAAAGAAAGTAATGTGAAGTTTATTTGTTTATAATGGGGGGAGTACATGCCATTTGTTGTTTGCTAAGACTCTAAGAGGGCTGAATACATCTCTACAATTGCATGTACTCATCTACTCTACTAAAGCTATTCACAAAAACCCCCACAATAACAACAAGCAACAGTAGCAGGGCAGAAACACACCACAACAACAACAAGCAACAGTAGACAACTTTAATAAAAATATTTACCTATGGTTAAAACCTCCTCCTTGTCGTCAAAATCTATGTCTGCAGGCCAATCCGGAAGTGCTTTTGGTCGTAGAGACTTAGATTGTTTCGGGATCTTTTCTGATTGTTTTCCACTGTTTTGTCGTTCTTGATTATTCTTTGGAGCTATTGCTGAAGTTTTAACAGCACCAGTCTCAAGGTTCTGAATTCCTCGTCTCACAGCTTGCTCGATTGGTTTATGAGAAGTAGAAAGGGAGTTCGATGATGAGTCTGGTCTAATTGATTGTGGAATGGTAGGTGGGATATTAGGTGAGACTTTCGATGAAACTTTTGCTGGATAGTTTTTCTGATAACCAGATGTAGTTGCTTCTTTGACTGAACTCGATGTTGAACCACGAGGGTTTTTCCAAATGGATCCTAAACTATTAGGTGGTTGTTGGTCAGATTTTGTAGTGGTAATGGGTGGAGAAAAAGGTCCCTATTTGTCATCTTTAAGTACCTCAGTCTGTGGTGACTTAATAATAGCTTGTTTTTTGGTGGGATGTGAAACAACTTCAATAGCAGATGACTCACGTGCAGTAGTTGTAGTTGGTGACTTTGCTAACAGTGGATCATGCGACTTAGCTGTGGCAACAAGTATTTCCCTTGTTCTCTTGATTCGATAAGTCATCTTTTATCTGATAAAACCATAAGATAAGCTACATTAGTCTGTCAAAACTGATATAAACACAAGAAAATATATGTACATCTAAACTATACATCTGTGAATACACACACATCACTTAACCAAAGAAACTGCATGCCAAGTTAGAAAACAGCAGATTCATATGTTTAATATAAAGCACCAGCAAGTATAAATAAAATGTATGAAGATAGATAAACACATCAAGAAATATTAACAAAAGAAAAAGAAAAACAAGAAGCACAAGAATTTTGATACCCCTGAATTTAGTAAAATATTGAAAGAAAAAGAAAAAGAAAAAGAAAAACAAGAAGCACAAGAAAAACAGGTAAACACATCTACAAAATAACCCAACACTGTAGCCCATGAATTTTGCAAATACACACACAAAAGCTTTGAATTTCACACACTTACACACACACACAAGCATTCTAAATTTTACCTCTGATTTAAATTCTGTTGTTCAGAGCTGCAATTTAGTTCTGATGTTCAGAGTTGAATTCAAAACTGAATTCAGATTTAAATTTCAGTTCTGATTTCAGTTCTAGAATTCATTTCTGATGTTCAGAGCTGAAATCAAAACTGAAATCCAGAACTGAATTTAGATTTGAATTTCAATTCTGATTTCAGTTCTAGAATTCAGTTAACAAAAACAGAAATTAAGTTACAAAATACAAACTTTGATGAATTAGAATAACTAAATGAAATATAAAAATACACAACCATCCAAATTTATGGACTCAAATCTATATTAAATTATAAAAGTTGTAAACAAATTATTCAGGTATATCAAACAAGTCACTAGGCTTAGTTTTTACAACATGACACCACCCTTTTTGTATCTCATCTTTAATATAAAAAACTTGTTTTGCTTGAGATGAGAAAACAAATGGATCATCACGCAAAAATCGGCCAGTGTGCATCAACTTTGAGAAATTGATACAAACACTTCCATTCGGATTTGTTTTAATACCCCTACGGATATCGACCCAATCACAACGAAACAATACAACCTTATAAGAACCATAATAATGTAATTTCAAAACTTCTTTGAGTTTTCCATAATATTCGTGACCCTCTGCTTCCACCATGATTCCTGAATTTTGAGTTACTCGAAATCGCTCACGATCCACAATATCAATTTTGTAACCATTGATAATAACACTTTTCATCCTTTTCCCGCGGTTACGCAAGCCACCAGCTAAGGCTTTTCTTAACTTTCCATCTATCATGCTATCATCTAAATTATGGACCTATAATTCGAGAATATTAAAGTTAGAATTAGAAAGTTGTATAATATGAAAATAAAAAGACCCTAAATGTAAAAGCATAAGACCTGGCTTTGCAACCAATCTGCAAATTCATCACTTATCCACTGATTTTCAATAGATTCATCAGCTTGACTTCCTCCAACGTCATTCTCTTGCCACTTTAGTTTTAGGAACTCACTATTGAGATTGTAAATTTTATGTTAGTAGCAAGTATATATTGGACGTATTAACTAAATACATAATGCTACTTACTTGAGCACCGGGGTTAGTTCATCAGAATGAAGTAAAACATAGCAATGAGCTTGCTTTAAACTTTTATCATCCAAACGGACATTTTCTTTCTTTCCAACAACACGACCACCAGAGTTATACAAATAGTTGTCAATGTTTGATACACCATCCTCATTCCTTCTATGTCTTTTGAACATAGTCTCAACACTTTCTAAATATCTCGAACAAAATGCAATTGTCTCCCACAAAAGGTAACCTTCCGCTATAGATCCTTCCGGTTGCGCTTTATTGCTTACATGAGATTTCAAAAAGGCCAAGTACCTTGAATTACAGTAACGATTTTGTATGTGAATGTGAAAGAATAGGAAAAATTATTATATAAAAATTAAATAATACAAATAAAAATAATAATAATAATAATAATAATAATAATAATAATAATAGTAATAATAATAATAAGTACCTTTCAACAGGATACATCCATCTATAATGAACCGGTCCGCCTAGTCTGACCTCTTCCACTAAATGAATTAGTAGATGAACAATGATTGTAAAAAATGTTGGTAAAAATTATTTTTCAAACTTGCAAAAAGTCAACACGAGCTTTGATTGAATGGTATCTAATTCCCTTGTATCTATAGCAGTTAAACATATCTTTTTAAAAAATCAGACAACTCCTCAAGTAAGTCAATAACTCTTGTGGCATTCGACGCCCTTAAAGCAACCGGGAGGATATCTTGCATGATAATATGATGGTCGTGACTTTTCATATTAATAAGTTTCCGTTGCTTTAGATTCACACATCTTTGCAAATTAGATCCATATCCATCAAGAACTTTCATCTTTTTCAAGACTTTTAAAAATTGTTCTTTCTCGTCGTTAGACATGGTGTATGCAGCTGGCGGGATGTAACCTTGAGGGTTGATCCATAGATGAGGTTTTATATTCAAATTCTTTAGGGCTTCTCTGCCACTCTCATCATCCCTATTATTATCCATATCTAAAAGAGTTCCTAAAATTATATCGGACACATTCTTTTCAATGTGAATAACATCTAAATTATGTCTAAGAGGATTATGCTCCCAATACTCTAATTCAAAAAATGTAATTTTCTTTTTCCAAAGAACATCATCACCATTGGGATTGCAATCATCATAAAGTTCATTGGCAGCTTTTTCCCTCTTTTTTTAGGAACTTTTTTGTCTTCCCATATAAATACTTTACCCTTCTTGTTGCTTCAAAACATCGGTCCCGCTGGTATGAATCGGAGCAATACCACATTCTTCTTTCCCATTGTAGGGAATATTTTCAAGAATTAACCCCTAGCTTGAACCCCACTGTGATCATACACTAAAGTACGGTGGCGTCCAAATGGGAAGAAGATAGAGCAAAAGAGTCTCCAACAAGTTTTAGGAACTTGTAAATTGTTCACGAGGTGAAGGTTACACCCCTTAACGATCCAAGAGATCGTCAACTCCATAAGGTCTTGAAAAAAATAGGGTTCGGGGATGAAGGTACAAATCCAACCTAAAAGAGATTGAACCTGCCCTAATAATAGGCCTCTACTTTATTCTGATCGTATTCATGTGCGCTTTCTAACTAACATACAATCAATAGGATTAACCTAAACCTGTTTATCTATGTTGGTTGATTATTAATGCACAAATAAACTATTATTGGAGATCACTAAAAATTATAATCACATTAACCCTAAACAAGATTATTAATTATCTTATTAAGCGTGATTGCAAATACCAATTCCCTGTAAACATGCATAATAGGTGTGATCAAACAATAACAATAAATACAAGCAACATGACAAATAATCAATATCATGAATAATAATTATAATAACAATCATATCATCATAAATAAAATAATCATCATCAAAATAATAATAATAATAATCATAATCATAATAAATTATAACAATTATAATCATAATCATGTTCATGTTAATATTAAAGCATAATAATAGCAAGATCCTAGGCATGATACTAACTAGATTAATAACAAACCCTAGCGTGTTACTAAGCAATAAAAGTCAAGTCTTTAGCCCTAATATGATACTAACAATCACAAATATTAGGAAGAACATAGGAGGCATCGTGACAATCATGTTTAATATTAAAATTACCCTAGACATGATACTAGGAATATCATAATAACAATATAAACATGATTTCTACATCATAATATTAATAAAAACCATTAAAGCACTTACTTTGATGCCTCGTACCTCTTTCTAATAACAAAATACACACGTTAGTAAATTCAAGGAAAATAATAATCAAAACAATTAAATTAAGTAATTGAAAGAGAGATTTGGGACCAAACCCTCATAACTTAAACCTTTCACGTCTAGGGCGAAGGCAACTTCGAATATGGCTAGGTATTTCTGGATCTTGCAATTGCGGAATTTTGTATATAAAAAGACTAGTTTAGAAAAAGAGAGAGAGAGAAAGAATTGATGAATAAGAAGAGAATGAGAGAATTAATGATTGCGAATGAAAACTGATTGTAGGTGAATATAATTGAAAACTGGTTGTTGATGAGAATTGGCGAATTGAAATAAGAATTGATGAAATCTAGTTGTCAAAAACGGAGTTTTAATACATTATTTATAGGGAAAATCAGCCAAAAAAGATAAAATTAACAAAACAAAGTCTGGCACACGCAAAACGAGATTGGCGCCAGCCATTGGCCATTGGCGCCAAGCGCCAATCCCAGGCAAGTGTGTGAATGTGAATAAGAATGCATGCATGTTTATTACGGTCGCACCTTGATGTGAGGTTGCCTACGTATCCGTTAGGAATCAGGACGAACGTAGCTCTAACCGAACCTCGCACAAGTGTATGTATACCTCAAAAAGGTCTTTTTAAGGGTTGTAACATGGTTAGGCTAAAGGTTGAATAAGAAGGGGATAAAGGCTCAAAACCCTAGATAAGCCTCCAAGGTGTGCAACCTTGCTTTTGAATCTTTATATTTTTATGCTTGAGTTTCTACTCTTGTTTAGCTCTTTCTTTTGCTTTAGCATTTCTTTTATTTTAATAAGTGTGAATAATCCCGATCATGCGGTCCATCACTCACTTGGCATTCATGTTTCTCAGGCACGGTACCGAGAACTCGATAAGAGACGCAATCTGAGACGTATTCTTATCGAAGATATTTTCATATCAAAGACATTGGAACACTTACCCTTTTGTACACATTTATTTATTTATTTTCGTTTGATCTTTTGAAATCACTCAAGCCTTTTTAGAATTGCATAAGTTGCACACTATCCCATCCCAAAGTTAGGTAGATGTAGGTTGAAAAAAGAAAGGCCTATCGTCAGACGAGGCTCAAAGTGGTTTACCAAAAAAAGATGTATAATTGAAGGGTGAAAGGTAATATAATGTGGCTACAAGGGGTGCCTTAAATCATTGGTATACCTTGTGCTTAATTCGACATGGATTTTTATTTTATTTATTTTTATTTTTTTATATTTAATGCAATATAATGAAATGATCATATATAAGGAAATAAATGCTCATTTTATTAAAAAGGGGAAAAACTAAAAAAATAATCTAAAGGAAAACAAAAGGAGCCTATACTAGACTTATTGGGGAATGGAAAAAATGAAAAAAAATAAAAAAAGAGGTCATGAAATCTTGTCGTTGAAGCTCACCTCTGTCTTGTGTTGTTTGCTCCGACATCATCCAGTCTTCTCGCTAGCTAGAGGCAATGAGATCTTATTTGCCTCTATGAGATCTTGAATGAGGTTTTGAAACATGTAGCATTCATCAGTAGTATGACCGCGTCCTCGATGGTGCTTGCAATAAGAGTTGGGATTCCATCTCGAAGATTGATTTTCTGGCGTTAGATCCTCGGTAGGGCCAATAGGTTTGATTAATCCTCGATCATAGAGACGATCGAAAGCAGCATCGTAGGTCATTCCAATGGGTGTAAACTCTCGCCTGGGTTTCCTTTTAGATCCTTGATTGTCCATGGCTACGACACCATTATGGTCAAAGGTACTAACACTATTGTTAGTAGCTTTTTGCTTTGCGAGGTCATCTTCAATTTCAATTCCGATGTCATAAACGGCCTTGAAAGTATTCAGATTGTGTTGATATTTTAAATGCTTTGAATACTTTTCTTGGAGATTTTTGATAAACATCCTCACAGACTCCTTTTCGCTGGGAACCTCAATCATCTTGGCGGAAGTTTCTCTCCATTTATTAAAGAAAGAAGTAAAGCCTTCATTCTCTTTTTGTCTTAGCATCTCAAGTTTTCTATGGTCGGTTTCAACTTTGATATTGCACTTGTACCTATCAACGAAAGCGTTTACTATCGATTCTCAGATAGAGGTTTTCTCTTTATCAAGGGAGAAGAACCATTTTTGGCAAACGGTTTCAAGAGATAGTGAGAACAGAGAGGGAAAACCTTCTTATCAATACCCTTAATGTTCATTATAGTTTTGAAAGCTTTAGATGGAAGTAAGGGTCATTTGTTGCCTTGAATTTAGGGATGTTAGTGGCGTTGAACTTATGTGGAAGAAGTTACTTGTCCAGCGAGACCCCTTGTGAACTCATGCCCTAAAATTTGTAGTCACTAGATAGCTTGATCAAGCTTTCTTGCATGAGGTTCATTTGTTGTTGCTTCACGGGATCATCGATCTTGAGTGTGAGTAGCTTCAGTGTCTCAGTCACGGTGACCAATTTGTTCCTAAGCTCATTGACTTCTTCTTAAGTTGCCATTATCTTCTTAGCCTTCCTCTTTTGACGAATCGGTTTATCAAAAAGCGAGACCTGAATAAAGAGGTTGTCCTTGATTAATCGCCCTTCTCTCCTCGACCAAGTACTGTGGAAAAGGAATTTGGGGATATTCATTGTTAATTATTTGGCTTAAACTTTATCAACATGCAATGGATGGAGGAAGTGAAGAAAGGTTTGAATGGAATGTGAAGGAGAATTTAGATGGAAGAATTAGGAATAAAATGTACCCCCCAACTCAAATGATGAAAAAGACCGACCCATGCATGGACCTAAGATATGGTCATGGTGATGTGTACTCAAAGTGTGTGCTAAGACTAGTGAGTGTAGGTGACATGTTAAGACTTGTGTCATGACCATGTGGCTAGACTATGTGACTAGACTATGTGACTAGAGTCAATTAATGACTCGATCATGTACACAGCGAAAATTAACCGAATTAATTAGTAAACTGGTTAATTAGACACTAGGTGATGACTCGACCAATAATCCGAACTGTCGGACAAACGACAGGACTGACGTCACACTGTGTAGCTTGGCGCCAGACGATAGAGATGTCGTTAGGCGCCACACTCCATAGTGTGGCGCTACAGCTCAGACCTTGGCGCCAATATTGGACCTTCAATCTAGAACTGTTTTCGGTGTTATTAATCAACTGGGGTATGCCTAAAATCGTACAAGGTCAATTGCGATTAAAATATTAGACTTTATTTACTCTAATTAATTAATTTATTAGGCAAAGTTCTTTAAGTCATTAATTTATTTAATCTCAACACAAGTCAACAAACGGTTAAGAGAAACATAGAATATATGCACAACAAATAATGCACAATTAGTCAAGTAGGCACAATATGATGCGATGAGTTCGCAACCTAACCATGGCTCTATTTCTCTAAAGTTCGGGATATGGTTTACTCAATAGAGGGTCCATGGTTAATTGTCCAGATGCACCGCGCGGAAGCCTAACCATGAAGAGTTGGCGCGAGTTGATAGGACACCGCGAGTTTTAGAAAAAACTCGCTTCCATAGTTTGGTGAATTCATTATTCTCGGATGTACCCTTTGTTGCACGGAGCGTTCAATCGGGTAGATGGAGCATGAATTCCCAGAGGGTTATGTAGAACACATATGGGTTTCAAAAAAGTGAGAAAAAAAAAATTCAATCAGGAAGTAGGATCGAGCAAACAATACGAAAACCAGTCGAAATTAGAACGCATATTTCTGGCTCGGTATTGGGGGAGGTTGGCGCCAGCAATCAGAGACTGGCGCCATCTTTTAACTATAGCGCCTGGCACCAATGCTGACGTCTGGCGCTTCGGCTAAAAGTCTGGCGCCAAGCTCTGGCCCCTGGCGTTACTTCCCACATGCCTCAGCAGCTTTCTGTGCTTGATAAAATTTTCCAGTTTCGCGCGGTGTTATTTCGATCCTAGTTGTGAAAGATATTTCTCAAATTTCTTACGTGTAAAAATCCTATGTTTTAAATCATTACGGATGGTCTTTTCTATGAGATCTTTTTTATGCATATGACAATAATGTTAATCAAAATTACGCACATGAAATACTTAGAACGCTTCGAGTCTCAGCCACTCATTCT